TCTTCTTCTATATGTTTATGTACACCTCCGTTTTTTTTTTTTTTTTTTTTTTTTTTTTTGCAATCGGCCACACTAAACGTACATATGTAGATGGATAGATCCCCCTCTTATCCAGCTCGTTCAGCTCTGTTTTTCTTTCTTATATATTGGTAAACTGCGCATTTTTTGCTTTAAAAGCAATTTAATTTTTTTTTGTTTTTATGCCTTTAATTAATCTGCATGCAATAGTTGTAGAATTATTAACATTTTAAAAGTTTAGCCGCGCTAAGCTTAACGAGGCCGCGATTTGTTTACATTTGAAACTCTTAGTAGAAAAGTGAATTAAGTCCAGTTGCTACACCGACTTTGTTGTCTTTTTCCCCAGCGGGACCAAAAGTTAACTTTAAATTTTGTGCACCGAAAACTTCGTCTTCCTGCCTGTTGACCGAATTGCTTGTTTTTGCATACAAACACTAAATTTGATCGCAAAAATTTATATTTTATCTGTATTTAGTGTTTTAGGGTTTACTGTACTAGTGTAATTTTCCTGTTTCTGATGTATAATTTTTAATGAAGATGTTTTGAGTTTTTATGCATTTTTGCCCTACCGCGAAGTGAGAACTGAATTTATTGAATGGGAAATATCTCTCTAATAAAATTCGAGGAAATATATATAAATGAAGTGCAGGGAAAAAAGTAAAGTGTGTAATTTATTAAGCGGTACAAAGAGGTCATGTGAAGTCCTTTTTTTTTTTTTTTTTTTTTTTAATGTTAGCGAACAGCCACATTTTACTAAACGTGTTTAATATTGATCTGCCACTAAATTAAAGCACGAATTGCTTCTTCTGCTTTTTATTTCACCTGCTATACTAATACTGCCATATTGTTTTAACAACTAAAAATTTTAATAACATCTTTTGTAAATATATTGAGCTATTTCTTTCGATTTGATTTATTTCAAAATATTTTAAATTACGAAATATTCATTTATTATTCATTTATAGACAATTTACATTACGTTAGTATCTGTGGCGACCTGTCTACTACAACTCAACGCTGCCAGTCTGGTAACTCATAGCAACGAAAAACAAAATAATATTTATTCTATTGTTAATATAAATACCAAAAAAATTGATATTATTAACGATCTGTTTTTGTTGTCATAGTTGCTTCTCCAGCTACGCTTTATTCAATTATTGATTATACAAATATACATATTGATTATGCATATTAAATTATTTTTATTATTATTATATTAAATCCTGCGTGTGATTACCTTTCTCAAAAATTTTACTACCACAGTAGCGTATAGTTATAACTGATTAGCGCAATGTAAATTAAAAATTAAAACAAGAATTAAGAATTTTTAATACGACTCGTGAAACATGATTAAATAACAGCACTTCTGTAACAGCCACATGCTTTTTCCCACGTTATAAATAATAGTGTTTGAATAATACTTGAAAGAAACTAACCTGAAGAAGAAACATTATTTTTCAGTAATTTGGCACAGAATAATATAACATTACTTTAAAGTTCACTCATCAATAGCACCTAGGCGAATGTTCATTCAAAATATTCATCTCACATGGATAAAAGGAGAAGACTCAGGAAATCTACCAAATCAGATAAGAGTGGTCTTATATTTCCCGTTGCCAGGATTAGAGCAATGTTAGAAGTAACAAATTTCTTCAGAAGGATCAGCGATAAAGCAGCAGTATTTATTGCAGCAGCCCTCCAGTACCTGGTGGCAGAAATACTGGAAATGTCTTTGTGCAGAGCTCGGGAATGTTCTTCCTCGCGTATCCAACCCTGTCATTTGAACTTTGCCATCAAGACAGACAAGGACTTTTTCCCAATTTTCGGAACATCCATCATCCCCAATGGAGGCTGGTTAAACTTCCGTTTACCGACAGAAATGAAGATAGCTGACAATTCAAATCTAGGTGCAAAAGCTAAAAAGTACAGACCTACTGGATCAACAATCAGAACTACAAAATACAAAAACTTATCTGGTAGAAAAAGGAGCAATAAAATCAGGTCTGGTAATAAAAAGAAAATACAATATAGAAGGTACTGCAAATCGCTATAGTAGTATTTAATTCTGAAAGACTATCATCTTCATGAATTTATAAGTCTCAGAGAACCCTTAGTAACCAGAAACTGTTCTATTTTCTCCGTCTGACTGGCCTAATATCTCCAGTTAAAACTATAATTATAGAAATATATTTATGTATCGACTAAATAATAAACTTAGTATAATATATAACGTTAAACAATTTCCTGTTTAATTTTGTTTCTGCACCGAAATAATTATTGTCAGTAGCTTTTAGGCACTATTTCCATTTAAAAGCGGCCGCCATCATGTTTAGACGACAGAACTGGCAATCTGAATCCTCCAGTTCGTGTCAAGCAAATCTTAAACGTTGTTAATGACTGCTTTGAAACGAAAATACATATTTATTATAGTATGGTAGATTATAGTATGGTATTGTTCTAGTAAAGTAGATTCGAGCATATTCCTGATTAACGACCGATGGTGTGAACGGTTAGTGCAAAATCTTAGTTAATCGGAAGGTAGCTAGTAAAAACACAGGAAAAAGACTAACCAATATTATAATTAAAAGAAAAAGTACTATTAAGAGCTGATCTTTCCTTTTAAGCAGTTTAGTTTAGAGAATATGTTCATTAGTTATGTAAATTAATTCGGTTTTTAAAGTTAAAAGAACGCACTGTAAATAACATAACAATCATCACTAGAAATGAAGAAATTAAATTATTAACGGTATTCAAGAACGATATTTACAAAATAACTTGTGGAACGTCGAATTCAGATTAACATAAAAACTTCGGTTATTTTTTTGGCAGAGTTTTTTTTAATAATTCTAATATTTATGTAACCTTTTAATCTTTCCGCAGTAAACAAACTAAGCAGTTATAGAGGAGCCCAGTTAATCCGCAACGCGCTTTAGAATATACAGTAGTAGATATTTTGTCAATATTAGAAAGTTGTAAATGTTTTCTAAAATTTGTTTAAAATGAATAAGTTTAGCAATTAAGATCTCGTATATAAAGAATAAGGAAAAACTGGGCTATTATAATTACCATTGTGATAGGAACACAAATAAATTGGTAAAAACCAATTTATTTATGTGAGTTCCCGGTTTAACGAGATTAAAGATTTAAACTATATTTAAATTACATTTTCGGATGTAAAGAAAGCTAGTCTGTTTTTTTATTATTATTAATCTATTCTGTAAAAGAGAAACTCATTAACCTGTATACCCATTACCGTAAAACTTAGCGCCTCGAATAAAGGTTCTCAGTATCAAACGAAGTTTTATATATGAGAATGCAAAGTTGATTAAGAAAGTAATTATAAAATTCAAAGCAAAATCTACGTTTATGATAGGGAAAAATGCCAAATGAATGAAGTTCTAATACCCTGTTGGACCACCACTAGTGTGAATACATGATGTAATATAATAAGGCATTGTAACATACAGGTGTCGTATGTTTTCAAGTGACATCTCATTTTACAGTAGCTGTAAGCACAGCTCTAGTTAGACCAAATTCCTAGGCTTTACAGCTTGGCATCCCAAATGATCCGAGACATGTTCGACTGATGAAAAATCTGTGAATCGAGCAGGCCAAGGAAGGAGTGTAGCAAGGCAGAGGCATTCCTGTGACACCCTTTCTGTGCGTACACTGCTGAACTGTCATACCCCTGGATTGTCATGGTGCCATGAATTAACACTACAAGAGACCGGTATCGCATGTGATGGCACTCCAGTGCAACGGATGCAGATGCAGTGTCCTCAATGAACGGGGCTGGAGTTCAAATGACATCACTAAATGACATCACTGATTGGATATTAATGGTTCCAAACTTCAGTAGTATAATTTATATCCGTTGAAATGTAGTTCTGGGTAAAACTCCCAAGTGGAACGTTTTAAAATTCAATTATAACCAAGCATTATGTTTCTTAAATGTAAAGGTCGGTATCCATGATCGTAAATATAATTTGTAATACATCACGCCCTAAATAGAAGGAATAAAATGCTGGTTATGGCGCATCCAGTTACAGCCATGTTTGTGTACGTGTGCGCCATAATTTGCGCTCCCGGTAAACCTCTGTAATAATCACTGTGATGGAAAAATTATTTCAAACAAAAATCAGCCAAATCTGGCTACAGCTTCTATTCTTCTATTCTACAGCTTCTTTTTTAAATCTGGCTGCAGCTTCTATTCTAAATCTGGCTACAGCTTCTATTCTTCTTCTCCACTCCGATTCTGTCTCAGGTGAAGTTGTGATATCTTCAAATCCTAACATTAAAAAAAAAAAGATTGGAACGTGAATGATTAGAGAAACCCTGTCAAAGAAATCATCAGGTCATCGAACACAGATCTAAAAATACAAATAAATCAAGACCCTTGGGAAGAATAGGTGAAGTTGTCAATCTAATGGGTAAAACCCATTAAAAATTGTAAAGAGGTTGAAATAGGATAAATTAGAGGAAAGCGATAATGGACAGTAACAGTGTCCCTTCTCTCACCAAGCACGCAGAAATAAAAGAGTTCTGCAAGAATGCATTTATTTGTCATATAACTGAGTTTCATGAAAAAAAAATTTAATTAAAAAGTAAAAGTTCCTTTTCTTTTGAATGGATTTTATCGAGCCATTAAATTTTAAATGTGTGCAAATGATATAAGAACCTCTTCATTCATAGTTTTTCCCATTTAATAAACACCAGAATTTTCGCACTGTTACAAGCGTTAGCGCGTGTTTCAGTTCTCATTCTAGCTTCCTTATCTCCCTCTCTGATCAGTGAATAACTTTCAAATAATTATAATTACCGCAACTTTGAAATATTGCCTTAGCAGCGACAAAAAGAATGTTAACTCAAAAATACAAATTTCAGAATAAGCGAGGACCTTGTGATTTACAAGATTAACATAACTGTGAATTTAAGAAATGCATACTGTTTTTTGAATAATTAATTCTTTTCTTTCAATCCAGAACAGCCCGACAGCCCTAGTAACATACTAGCAACAGAAATCGGGAGCAGAACAATTACAATCAGATGGACTCAGCCTTATACTGGAAACAGCCCAATTATATCCTATAAAATACAATATATCTTAGCGTCAGGTAGATTCTTATGCCCTTCTACATTACTTTTTATCGTTTAAATTCAATCAGTGTGGCAGGAATTTATTACTAACTTTGTTTATTACAGAAAGTTGGGAAGATGGAGAGCGAACAACTACCGTTTCTGGACGAGATACTTCAGCAATTCTGAGGGGATTAAAACCAGTTACAAGCTATCATGTGAGATTAATGGCTGAGAATGGAATCGGTTGGAGTGAGCCAAGCGTGGTAGTCCACATTACAACCGCTCAAGAGGGTAAATCAGCTACTTTTGTGACATTATCGTATCGCATATATATTTGGTTTCTAACCCCTAAAGCAAGAATGTTTATTTAATTTTAATCCTTCATAAAATGTTGCTTTCATATGAATTCAGCAAATATTGGATATATTTAATCAGAAATAGCGTCAAGTCTTTTTTTTTTTCCTTCAAACGTTTTTTTAAATGAAAGGCTAAAATATTGGGTCATATAAAGTCTCCACGCTTTTATGCCACTAGATGGTATTGATGCCTATATATCCGGCAGCACTCAACCGATTATCTCAAATGAACATGTGCTTAAAAGGTGACATTCAACTTCCATTGTTTGTGATAGTTTTCTAATTTGTTGCTCGTGTCCAAAGTTATATTGATTTGAAAATGAGTAAAATATCTGAAGAAATGCGGTATATGATGCTGTTTTACTATAAAAAAAGGTAAAAAAAAACATGCCGAAAAATTTGTGAAGTATACGATGAGATTGCTCTGAATGAACGAACGACCCAGGAATGGTTTGCTTGATTCCATTCCTGAAATTTCGAAGTCGATATTGGAAGGGAATTCTCCATTATGAGCTGCTGCAACCTAGCGAAACTATTGTTACGGATTTGGTATTTAAATAGCTAATGTTAAATGAATTATAAATTAAATTGTTTTAATCCTCGTGCAGTGCAGCGCGTGATGAATATTAAAAGAAAGCTAAGCCGGAAAATTAAAAATGCAAGAGCACGTGCATTTAACATTTAATACATAAATATCTCTTTTTGATTTCGAGAAAGTTCCAGAAAATTCTCGCGCACGATTTAAAATCATATAAAAAGGAGAAAACCTCTCAATTCGATGAGTTAGCTAGTTTGTTGTTGTTTTAAGTGTTTGTTTAGAAAACTGCTCTTGTTGACTGTAGCGAATTCACAGATTAGCTTTCTTTAGCTGTTTTGAATTAAGTTCTCTTGAATGTTTGAGTAGTTAAAAGATAACTACTGTGGTATACTGTAATACTGCACGAATATCTGAGAAAATTCAAGCATTTTTATTGTAATAATAATAAATTTTGTTCATTTTTTTCATCGGACTAGTGCATTCATTTCATAACGAACCCGTACGCACGCAACACTATCAATTCGGCCATTTACTGTACATAAGTCGACCGTTTGAACGAAGCAGTCCAGAACGGACGACCAGACTTGGCCAACAGAAAGGAAGTTGTGTTCCATCATGACAAAGAGCGCTCACCATATCACCCGGACTTTTCACCATCTGACTACCATTTGTTTTGGTCTCTGTAAAACTCTCTTAATGGTAAAAAATTGGCCGACCGAAGCGCTACTGAAAATCACTTGGCTAAGTTTTTCGACGATAAACCACAGAAGTTCTACACCGATGGAATTATGACGCTACCCAAAAAAGGGTCATAGACAATAATGGTCAATATGAAGTTGATTAAAATTGATTTTCAATAAAGAAATTTTTGCTTAAATATCTACAAAAAGGCGCGGAGACTTTTTATATGACCCAATAGTTTCACCCTAAATTTTTAAAAACGGATTTTCAAATTTTCTGTAATTTGGGGTTTAATAACACAGAAAATCAAAACTCAACGCTTTTTAAATCTCATGATTTCCTCTAATGCCTCATTTATGGAAGATTCTGTAATGCAAGTCAAAATTTAGGAGTTTCTCATATTCCCTTACTTCGTTTTAGTCTGTGTGTGTTCCATATATAGGAAGTAATGAAATGGTTAAGAGGAAAAGAAGTATTTTATCAGCCTAATACGTTAAAACCTCTCTTGTTACACAGTGAGATATTGTGAATTTAAGTTCTGTTCAGATATTTTATTTTAATAAGTGAAGGCATTTTAATTTAAACAGCAGTATGATCTGAATAATAATCTTGGGAAGTCATCATATATTTAGGTATCGTTAATTTGTTAGTAAAATAATTAATGCAATATTATGCTTCAGATGAGCCTTGCAAAAAATTTCTGTAAATCTTACAAACGTTTTATATTAAAGAATGCAAGCACTTAGTCTTATACATTGCAGAGGAATTTTATAGTTTCGTTTATTTTCTACTCCTAGTGCCAATAATCAAGTATTTAGGAGTGCATATGGTTTTAAACCATGTGCCTCCACATTATAAATATACCGAAGTAGTGAGTAGAAATAGAAAAATTGAATAAATAGTTAATTGGATGAAAGATAGAGGGAGCCACATTAGCTCGAGAGTGTTTAGGTATAGAAAAAAATCATCAAGTCAAAAGTTTGATTTTTTGTAAAATTTTGTTGTGGGGGGGCGGGGTTTATAATTTTTTGTATCTTGTCATTTTTGATTTTTTTTAATTTTGGTTTTTGTAACATAAATAAAACACAAAAGCAAAAAGAGGAGAAGAAAGATTTTAGAGAATAAGTGTCTTTTCTATCGCATGTATTTATTTCAAATTTTCTTTAAGCCTTAGAGGGCTTTAAACTAAGAAAAAATATAAAGAAATCAATAAAATAATTTCTAATAGTAATTTAAATTTAACAAATATTCTCTATTTTTATAAAGCTAATTTAAATTTAAATTTTAAATTATGAAAATTTAATTGTATACAAATAAAAGATCATTATTGCGGCGAACTAATTTACAATATCATCTAAATTCAGAGAGCATATGTAAATTAAGTGCAAGTATCTAAAACCATGAAAAAATATTTAATAATCCTAAAAATTAATCCCAAACATTTCAAAGAATTTTTAAGATTAAATTAATTTGCATAAAGTGAATAATTGTAGAGAAGGCAGGAGACAGATCTTTTCAAGGAGAAGGTAATGGTAATAATTAATACTTATAATTATAGTAATAATTATAGAATTAATAGATAATAGTAATAATTATAGAATAACGAAAAACGACAATGCTTACTAAACAAAAATCTTATCCCCCCCATTAAAGCAGATTATAATTGAAAACTTAAATCAACTGAAAAATGCATTAAATTACAACCTTGTTTAATATTTATCGAAACGGATGTAAAGAAGAATCCATCGACTTTCTCTTTTTAAAAATAAAATTGAAATTTTTGAAAATAAAAATATTTTTGAAAAATCAAAACTATATTTTATGAATTTCAGAATTTAATTATGTTATTATAACTTATACTTAGTGTGTTCAGAATAAGTAAGTTTCACATTTTATCCTTATATATTCCTATTCGTTTGATACACAATATAAGTAATTAATTGCAAATATTTCTTTTACCACAGCTCCTGAAGGTCCACCAACTGCAGTGCATGCTGTGGCATCCTCATCAAACACTATACATGTATCATGGCAAGTGAGTTTCTAAATTCTTGAATAGTTTTTGTTTGCGTAATTTAATAACGTTTGAGATTGGCTGTATATACTGGGGTATGCAAAAGGATATGTATTAAACTTCGGTATAATAACTGCTGTTTACGTATCAGTTTCTTCTCTTAAGATCATGCTTCCTGAATATACAAACTGGGTTTGTTTCGAAAGTAATATCGGCATCCCAGTGCATGGAAGATCCGATTTACAGGTTCAATATTTACGAAAGAATTTCCAGGAATTATAGTTCATATTTAAATAATTAATACATAGGGTAACAGAACTATTTAAGTGTAACTGAATTATTTTATTCAACGCCATGAACTCATGAACTGTAACCGAACTATTTTATTTAAATGCCATCTCGTGGCGATATGAAAAAACGTCAGCTGAACTCCAGCCGCCATGATGTTAGTTTACTTCGAACTCCAGCCGCCATGATGTTAGTTTACTATGTCTCTGTTATTCAACTGTTGATGTTCCATTTGGTTATGTTTCATTTATTATGTATATTTCTTTTGTTTGTAACCGTTCCTGTGTGCTCTCTTAATAATACTTTTAAAGCTAGCCGGCATTAGTGTCTATTGAGGAACGGCTGCATGACATTGGCGCCCAAACTAAATTTGAATCCAAAATTAGCGCAACGTAATGTTTAGAATTTCTGTTTGGCTTTGACAAGCTCTTACTCCCGAATTTAACTTTTAGTTGCTGGAGATCGGATCAGTTTGTTTTCAGGTGTGGAACTGCTGGTCAAATATTCTGGAAAAAACCAATTCTGGAATTAAAATTGTCATGCCGTGCTGCTAGCACATCGAATCATCAACTAGATACTTTAAACGGAAAAGATAAGTTTTCGTTTACATTATCGTTTAATCTGAGTTTAAAGTTCTTTTAAACTGATTGTTTATTATAAGCTGCTTCTTAAAGCAAATGTAAATTCTTTACTGAAATCTCATTTATTGATACTACATAAGAGTATTAAACGAAAGCAAACGGCTTTCTGTTAACCAAACGTTATTTCTTGAATTGTAATTTGTTATTTTAAAATGTTAATGCGCATAGTAAATTAATTGGGTGAATAATATTGTTTCACTGAATACATGTTTGATGTTAAAGTTTGAATATATTGATGGACGTTGTTCATTAGAATTTATTAGTTTCGATTCTGACTTACAGCAGCAGATGTTTTCCCCCCGCGGAAATGTTTAGACTAGCGATGATTTATGATGCGTTTACGTCAAATCTTTTATTATTTTTATTTCCTTTGAGTGCTGTTGTTCCTTATTAAAAGTTTTATTCTACATAAAATAAAATATTGTACTTGTTGATTTATCTTTCGACGAACATTTTGAGAAAATGATTATAGTATAATACTACATCACAATAGGAAATTAATTAAGGTAGTAATTATGTGCTGATTTACGTCGTATTACTGAAGCCATAAAGGAGAAGACTAAGTTGAATAACGTCAGTACCCTATAATGAGCCATCGCTCACAAGCGACCGAGCGGTAAAGTCACTGAACACTTATAATTCCGACTTGGGTTCGATTCCAGGCGAGCGGGCTGGCTGCATGGGCGTTTTCGTGGTTAGGGCCACCAGCGCCCGAACGGTAAAGTCGCTAAACAGTGGTAGTTCCGTCTGAGGTTCGAATCCCGCAAACATGCTGGCTGCATGGACGTTTTCGTGTTTTTTCCCATGTTTAACGTGTTAATACGAGCCAGTTTCCTTTAGAAAGTCCTCCGCGAAGGTATTCCTTTCTTCCGTGTAGTGCCTTAGGGCGGAATACGTAAATAGCAATAATATAATGAGCCATCAACGAGAATGATGTTATTAACTTATTAAATTTATAGTCAGAAGATCTAGACAATTAAGACCTTATATAATAGTAATACAAGGAGCTTGTAGAAACAAAGTGGCATGAAGAATCAAAGGATCCAGCTAAAAATTTGCAAAAAAGGGATTAGTTACAGCGCTTTGTAATCTCATGTTGATTCTCTGCTGAAATATGGAAAGAAAGAAAGTGAAAGACTTTCTAAGGGAAACTGGCTCGGATTCGGGTTACACATAGTAAAAATCACAAAAACCAGCCCATGCAGCCACCAGTTGTCTCTATAAACTGCGTAAACAAGCACTAGAAGACATACGAAAGAAATTGTCTTTGCACATAATGATAAAAATGTTAATTTAGAAGCATGCATGATTTCACAATGTATTTCATAATGCATTGATGTTAATTACAAAATCCTACATCTAATAAATTTGTGTTGACAACATATTCTAAAGACCTAACTAACTTCTTCCAATAATCTTCGAAATTTTACTCCAGCTTCATAAATTAAATGAAAATAATTGGCTTAAAGTATACAAGTATAGTATAAACTTGTAGTATAAAACTCTAAATTTAATTAAGAGTATGCTATCATTCTCTTTAAAATAAATTTTGTCACTTTTCATTATTAAAAATAATTAAGACAATTTTGAAAGCTTTAACATTTCCACTAATGGAGCAATAAGTTTAAACAACTATGATTCAACAAATTGCAGTGATTTGAAATATAGTGCTGTTAAAAGCTGCAAATTACGTCATTTAAAATTCAGTTTAACATAATCCTTCCACTCTGAGGCAGTAATTGTTTTCAAATTAATTAAATTTTCTGTATCTCTTTGCTTTATTAAGTTAAATGTAAATTATTTTATATGTAAAACATTAAATCTAAAGAAATAAAAATTGTCCGCATGTTCATACCTGCATCTTTTCGAATATTAATTTTTTTTTTTTTTTTTATTTTTCTTCCTAAATCCAGATGCATCACGATGAATTAAAATTTAGTGCAATTGTTCATTAATTCACAATAAAAAAATTATATATTAAAATGACGTTTCTTAATTTTATACTGATAGAAAGTCCAACTCAAGAATAAAACTTTTTTCAAATCCTAAAGAAAACTAAATTTTCTCCTTTTAGCTAAAATAATATCTAATTTTTTCAGTGGCTATTTCTCTTAATAAATCGGTAATTACGCAATTATAGATTCCATTTCGGTCAATCAATCTCTCGACTGCTCTGCTCCGCGTGACTGCAATGGTCCGCACTACAGATCCAACTCCCCCTCAGGACCAGGAGCGGAGGTTCAACCTCCGGTCTGGACACTCAAAAGGGCCTGGAGCACCACCTAAAATTCAACAGGCAGCACTGGTCGTTAATTTGCTACCTGCCAGTCGCATGGGCGAGCCCGTCGCAATGGGTCATTACCCTGCAAACCGGGGGCGTCATCCACCCGGCTACCAGGGCCGGACCGCTCAGGATATGCCAGACCCCGAGGCCGGCCATTGAGTGACCTTTCCCAGGGCCTTCAGAGCCACCAAATGCATACATTTTATACCCCCGTGGCCGAGACTGCCTAGGTACAGATCCTAGCCAGTAGCTTCGCAGAGTTCTCTGCGTAAACCCCAACCGGGGGTGGAGATTCCATTTCGGTAATTTATAAGTATAATTACAGTCGTGCCATAATTTAGTGATAAGAGTTCATATTATTAGCCCTAAGGGACGTTAGCTCTGAAGGGCTATTAGTCTCTAAAAGGTATTTTGTGTCGAATCACTGAGAGCATTGAATTACTTTTCCAACTGTTGCCACCAACTATTATCACCTTGTATTCTATTTATAGAAATTAAATGATGAAGAATTTGTATCGATGTGTGTCTGTTTTTCGCATTGTGAAAAAACGGCGGTACCCAGAGCATCCTATTTTGAATAACGTAGTGCTCCACCCGAACATGGGTACCTGTAAGCCCGAGTTTGGAATTTCGAATTTGCTTTATTAATCTATTTCATACGTTGATTGGTTTTATTTTTGATTTTAAAACTTAACGATTTCAAAGCGAGCAGGGGCAATAGTGTACAGAATAAAACATTTTTATCACCAGCGCGCGAGCTCTCTATCAGAAATTCTAAAGATATGCTGTTTTAAAATATTTTTAGTCTTGAGAAGCGTTAGCTCAAATGCTCTTGAAACGTGTATGTGTTGGTAAATAACAAAACGGCCTCATCGGGCGTAATATCAAATCTGAAAGCTTTCAGATATTTTTCTACTCTTTTTAAATAGCAATGTTTTAATCTGACCTACATAGTTCGTTCATGGATGGTAAAGAATTAAATTACAACAGGCATTAAATCAGGGTTAGAAAAATTAAATTTTGGGGTTTTAATGAAATATGTTTCTTAAAGTGAAGCTATAAGGAAAGAAACAAAAACTCTTATTTTACCGACCATAAATTCAAAATTCCATTATTAAAGAAGATAATTGAAATTGCATGATACTGAACCAATACAAATAAAAATTTTATTTTTATTACATTGCTAATGGAAAGGAATACAACGTGTAATCTGGTAGTCGTAAGCCTCAATAAATGTATTTAACGTTACCCACTGCAAACGTTCCATTACTACTCAATTTAATTGTACAGTGTAAAGAAAAATGAAAACGGTGGTGTCGCTTAAATGCCACTTAAATGACAGAGATTAATTATTAGGAATGCATTTAAAACCTTAATCCGAATAGCATTAGCTATCTGCCTGGAATAATTCAGTGAATGTTGTTTCCTTATGGCATTTATTACTACTGACACAATTGTTGCAACAAGAGAAGGATTAAGAATGCTTTTGGCATATCAGTAAACAATTACTTCCATTCAAGCTGGTTTAAAGAATAAAAATTATAACGATAGATAGGCTTCTTGTATAAATTACTTGATATTAAAATCACCTCTCACAAATGACAGAGATTGAAAAATTAATGCTCATTGAATGGAAAGAAAAAATCATAGTTCAAAAATAAAAATTAGTTAGTTAGTTCAAAAATAAAAATTAGTTAGTCAATTAGTTAAAATGTATGAAAGCTTTCAGATTTTATATTACGCCCGGTGGGACTTTTTTCTCATTTACACACACGTTTCGAGAGCATTTGAGCTAAATATTTAAAAACAGCATATCATTATAATTTCTGATAGACAATCGCCCACCAGCGGCCGAGCGGTAAAGACGCTGAACACTGGTAGTTCGGTCTGAGGTTCGAATCCCGCGAACGCGCTGGCTGCATGGGCGTTTTTGTGGTTTTCCCCATGTGTAACGTGTATACGAGCCAGTTTCCCTTAGAAAGTCCTCCACGAAGGCATCCCTCCCTTTAGGCAGATAGCCCTCGTGTGCTTTGCCATGATTAAAATAATCCAGTCCAATCTGATAGACAATCTCGCGCACTGGAGATAAAAATGTTATATTCCCTACAGCGTTGCCACAGCTGTCTTTAAAATTGTTGAGTTTTTTAATCGTTAAAGCTTTACAAAATATGAAATCGAGAATAAAACATGTTCGAAATTCTCAATTAGTGCTCCCGAGTGCTCATGTTTCGGAGTAGGACTATGTTATTGAAAATGTGATGACTCTAGGTACCGTTGTTTTTTCACAATGTGTGAAACATGCATTTATGTAGATTCTTCATTATTTAGTTTCTTTAAATGTAATTCAGAGTTATAATATTTGGTGTCAACAATTTGAAAGTGATTCGACGCAAAATGCCGTTTCGAGACTATAATACGCCTTCTGGGCTAACGCCCATTTGGGTTAATAGAAGTCTAAAATAAATAAACCTTCAAATCGGGAAATGAAAGTAGAAAACTTAAAAAAATAATCATTTTAGCCAAATCGGAAGCTGGTTTCATTACGTCTTTCAAACATCTGTAACAAAAGCTTTCAAAAGAATAAAGGTATAGGTTGACCGCCTCAAACGCAACCTTAGCTGGCATTCTGCCAAAACACATAGACTCGTCTAAAACTGGCGTTATTACTTTCTGCGACTTGAAAGGCCACGTGAAAGTCTTCACTTCTCCGAAAAGAAAGAATTTATATGCTCGAGGGAATGAAAGTCCCCCATCCTTCCACCCTGTTGTGTTCCACCCACGTGAAAGTCTTCACTTCTCCGAAAAGAAAGAATTTATATGCTCGAGGGAATGAAAGTCCCCCATCCTTCCACCCTGTTGTGTTCCACCCACGTGAAAGTCTTCACTTCTCCGAAAAGAAAGAATTTATATGCTCGAGGGAATGAAAGTCCCCCATCCTTCCACCCTGTTATCCTTTAATACTGTGACTTAAATTGTCGCATAACTACTGTGAGCGGTCTCTCAGACCGCTTCTGCTAAAAACAAAATAAGATATTGTTTTTTTTTTTTTTTTTTTTTTTTTTTTTTTCTTATTTGAATAAATGTTATTTAATTTCATATATTTAATGTTTTCATAAAGATATAAAGCAATTTTTATACTTAAATCAGTTCATTAAAATGAAATATATACTATGATAATAATTCCTTCGCTTACGTATCTGGATGGAAGAAGTAAATTTTAAAATTCAACTTTTTTACTTTACATTAAAATTTTGCGATAAGAATGCTTTAATAAGAATATAGAAAATTAATTTTTATTTTAAAAATTATATTTCGAGCTGCATTTTATACATACCTTTTCTACTGCTTTGTAGACACACTCATTCTTTGCATGCTATATATTCGTAAGCTGTTTTCCTTTTTTTTTTTGCTCGGTGGATAAATATAGCACGTTCTTTCTTTATCTAATTTATCGTCTTCGATCGCAGTGTTTCCTTCATCATTTTATTATTCCGAAAACTCTGCTTATTATAAGTTTGCTTTCTTTAGGTAAAAATGATGAAGTTATCCTCCGTTTTACATGAGACTGCACCAATTGAATTGCTAATGAAATCTTTTCGTTTCATTTTCGGAGCCAATGGGTTAAGTTTGAAATAATTACGAATGCATTTATTGCACAGATATCCAAGTTTCTGAAGAATATTGCCATAGGCCAACGTCGTGTTCGACGAGCAGTTGAATAGATTGAACGAAGAATAATATTGTGACTACGTGTTCGAACACCCTTGTTGGGCTCTTGAATAAACCATTTGAATTCATTTTTTCCAATAAAAAAATCTCTTGTGGAAGGAGAACATGGATTTTCATTTTCATCGGCAGATATCTCTGAAGTTGTGTCATGGTCGCTCTTCATAATTTCATCATGGGAACTTTCATCAGAGAACTCTACATTAGACCAATTTCGAACTAAGTATTCAATTTGGTCTTGGGTAAGATATATAGAACGTTTTCTGCACGCATTTGAAGCCATTACAAGAATATTTATAAAGAAGCGAAATATGTAACAACAATGAAAAGTGAACATTATCGGCTGAAATTTGAATCGTATCTGCTGTGATCGGTCCCACAGACCGCTGAGGAGGGCGGGGATTTAAAAAAGTGAAAGAAGAAATATAGCTACCCAAATGCAACTTGGTATGTGATCTTGGACAACTGATTTAGGAAGGTACTAGGAATGGCAATACCCGTTAATTATTCTAAGGGATGGAAGCATTTAATGGAAAATGTCTCGCCGTCTGAGAGACCGCTCACAGCAGTTAAAGGTTATGAGAATATTTCATTCCGAATGGCGCATGCGTTTTGTGTTCATGGTCGCGGATAATGCGGACGAACTATACTAAATTTTTTGTATTGTGAAATATTAACAGTTCCTTATCATGACTGTAAGATAACACTGTAAATAACAAATACGTTGTGTTTATTTTAGGAACTTCCTTCTAATTAAGTTTATAAGTGCCCATTTCTAGCAATTCGGCAACCAAGTCTTGTCCTTTTACTACAACGTAGCTAGAGGTTTCCTAAAATACAATTTTTCCTACCTATAATTTAGTTTTAACTTAAGTGCCTAACTACAGAGTTTCCTAGGTAAAATTTAGTTATTTTTACTTCGAAAACGGGCATTCGAAAAAGTAAAAATAATCCGTAAAGTATTAGTATTGCAAACTTAGTAATGGCTAAAAAATTAAAAAACATTTTATATTTTCAGTAATTTTTTTTATTTATCATTTTAGCCTCCGAAAAAAGACTTGAGAAATGGAAATATTAAAGGTTATTATGTTGGTTACAAGCCATATGGAGGCCATGATAACTATGTATACCAAACTGTTGAAGTACAGGGAGATTTTAAGGAAGAGATCATTTTAACCAATCTTCGTCGAGCTACAAAATACAGCATAGTAGTACAGGCATTTAATGAGAAAGGATCAGGTCCACCATGCGAAGAACTCATTGTAGACACCTTGCAAAGTGGTAAGTCTTGAAGTTCATACAAAAAAAAAACAAATATTCGATTTTGCCTTTGAATTTTTTAAAAAAAAGTATATTTCTGCATTTTATTTTATACATGTAGCTATTGTTGACCTTGGAAATTAAATTTCCTTATCATCATAATATAACTTATTCTTAATCTTTAAACCATGCATATTCATTAAAAGCTTATATAAATAGAGATATTTTTTATAGATTTGTCACAAGTTAAGGACCTTATGGACGGTCCGACAATACGTTAGAAAGGTTTTCCTTAATTTAAGCCTTTTGCAAAATATATTTATTTTAAATTCTATTTTTATTTTAAATGATGCAAATATTTATCTTATGGCATTTTGAAATTTAAAGAAACAATTTTGCAAAAATTATGAAATCTTATATATCACATGTTCTCCTGCTCCTTATAGCTATTTAACGAAAGTTTCTACGCATTATAAAAAAATATAACAAAAAATCTTTACTTTCTTGTGACAAAATTTAATTGAGGTACTTATGTTTAAAATTTCGGATTTTTGCAAACCCTCTCGGCTGTCTTGAGAAATGGATTAAAAAATAGATTTGAATTTTTCGAGACTGCCGTTTTTTTTTTTTTTTAAGCTTTCGGTGATACTATTCTTTTGTGATTTATTAGTATGTAACTTTTTTTAAATTTTTAATATATTACGTATGGAGTGTCAAGGAAATTTGCGCACAAATAATTCATAATTTACCACATGCCAAAATTATATTTTCAATAGCCTCATGAAGTTTTATTTTAGAATCTAAATACAATAATCATAAAAAAAATCCTTAAACTAGAATTTTTTTCATTTCTGTTTATTGCAAACAATGTTATAAGTTGGCTACCTTACTCGCAGCCTGTCTCAGTTTTCTAGAACATGAATACTATTAAGATTCTGTGAATAAGATGTAAATTTTAGAAAATTATATAGCTCGATTTTTTCACGAGTCTGCATAGCAAAGATCGCCAATAATCACATCTAATATTTTTTTTTCTAAATTAATACTGAATTTTTAGTTGGGTACAAAAATAAACAATTTAGTCTTAAATTTGTATGCGACTCTTGACTAGGACTTCAAATTTTAAAATTAAATATGTGTATCAGTTTAAGTCGCACGAAAGTCACATATTTTGCATAAACGAAGTTATAAGTACACCAGAGACCCCAGAGGACACAAACGAATTCAGAGTTCGTATTAATTAAAGTGTCAACACATGAATGAATGTGTCATTTAAATTTCGTATTATATTAAGCTTAAATCTCAATAGTTGTGAAAAATAAAAATATATGTTAACTTTCATCCTTTTGTATCGCACCTTGTGTGCACAGTTAGAATTAAGGGAAGGAGAAAACTCGCCAGCACGTAGAAATAGCGTCTTAGAATGAGCAGAATTTATACGTATACTCCAGTGCAAAATTAAGATCTTTGCTCCTGTGTAGTATTTTTTGTTACCAAACAAATTTCTAGTGTGCCTTGGCAACAACAGATGGCGCTACTGCCTCATGATTTAATTATGGTTGCTATGGTAACAATCTGTCAAGTATGTAATTGGCGTGTTTCTATTCTTTATTATTTTTTCTAAAGTGCTCTTCAGTGATGCGTGCATCGAAAAATGCTGTGTCGTCACGTGGACGGCATTTCTTCTATTTTAAAGTGTTTGTGTAAATAAAGAAAATCTTTTTTAAGAATCTTATTCTTAAGCATTTTTGGTCTGTGCTACCGCAGCAGTGACTTCGCAAGCTATGGATACCTGTGATTTATTCAAATTAGCTTTCATTTTCATTTTTGTTGGAGGTAGTCTACTTTCGATTTGTGAATTATGCGTATGTCATGGTGTAGTGTAGAAACATTAGCATTGGGGTGAGTACGTTCCAATATTTCCTTCTTAATTTCCTAAATGTTTTTAGTACAGTATTTATTTTTATTCATAATGGCTGATTTGAAACCCGTTTTAACTAAGGCCCCAATCACGTTATGTTTCGGCTACAAGGGACTTGACGTCGAAAGAGACAATTCTCAGAACCCGCACAATTTCGGGAAACACACGTAGCTAGGTTACCATTCTCACTTACTACAAAGACTTGAATGCCAAACAGTAATCGATTACCGCTCAAATTGGGATCACGTGATCTTTCAGAAGCAGAACTTTCGTCTGATTGGTTGTCTCCACTCGGAACCCGAGACATTTTCGGTGAGGTTTGAAAAAATCCCGCGTAGCCGCAACATTATTTCCGTGGCGGCTAGGCGGGACTTCTCTGCAAGGGGTCTCTTTTTTCTAGGAATCTTCCCATTTAAACCAATGCTACCAGAATTTCGTTTCTCAGAAAAGTCCCGTCTAGCAGGGACTGTAGCCATATGCAATAATCTCTTAAAGAGCAAATTTCTGAAAACTTAATGGACTGGTTTTAATGAAATTCGGTATAAACGTGCATTTATAACGTTATATATTCAAAACTCATTTTATGTAGGTATGATCATCAGTAAAGCTATCAGTATAGCTCAGGGATGTCCGAACTAATAAATGAGTCTGACATGGAGTGTGATTCCCTGTCACAGCCAAACAGGTTGACGGCTTACTAATAGATGGGAGCCAGTTGAGGAGTCCCTGTGGCAGTCGATCCCTTTCCTGCAGCAGGGAAGTTTTCAACTCCAGCATGGTTCTCGAATGCATATTGGGGAGATTAAATTACCCTCCCAAGAGCATTCCAGGCATGCTCTAGTCGGGAAATCTGCTAGGCCGAACCACGCTGCGAATATCCTCGCTTTCCTAGTAATCGCCGTCTGTCTAAGCCCTATGTGGACGAGCGTTGTCATCCGTTAACAAGAAGACCAACTGCGCGAACATAGGGCCGAACATAAAAAAGGCGAACATAGGGTTCTACGATATCCTTTCTGTACTCAGTAGCAGACAAGAGTCATTATCAAAACCCTTCAAGTGTGTGCGACCGCCAAACATATTGCTTGTTCAAACCATTACATCTCTACCACTATAATGATACTTTTACATGATGAGGAAAAGATTGTACCGTGTCCCAGGCTCTCTGCAGATGGAGATATGCCGAAAATCAGTGTTTAGGCTGAATCTCGATTCATGTATAAAAAGCACGATGCTCCAGGGAAGAATGATCCAAGCCACCTGTTGTCTGCATGGTGCTAAACGCGCTGTCTTGTGTGCTCCAATGAACTGGACACAAATAGCGGGTCTTCTGTCATACAGCCTTGTCTCATGAATTTTCTGACAACTGTAGACCGTGAATTTCGTAGATTCCAGTGGCAGCGTACAGCTCACGTCAGTGTCACGAAGCTGTAGCTGTCCTCTGTTGAGCTCTAAAGTGTCAAATACCTATCCTCATTCGTTGTTGTAAATCTTAATCGACTTCGTTCAAGTCTTCTTGATATGGATAGAGTTTGTTGAAACTGTTTCCAAAAACTATAAACAGCACTGAGAATTGCATTGAGCTCTGTATCCCTGTGTTAAGATTGGCCTGCTACCAATCTACCGACAATACTCCATCTCATTCCATCATCCATACGTTTGTAGCTACTCATTTCACCTAATACCTTACAAAACTTACTCAACTCTTGCGAGAAACACGGCAAATGTCGAAAAGGAGTATGAGCATACAAATACTCGAAAACTTGTGCGCGTATATCCCATACACAATCACAGCTCCGCAGACACGTGGGTGTAAGCTTACGTATTCGATTCTGAGCATCTGCATAATTCTTCGGAGGCATAATTAGTGCTTAATTACTTTTCTTAAAAATAGACTTAATTGCAAATTCTCCTGATATTGATTTTGCACACAAATGTAGTTAACTACGCTGTTATTCATACTTAGATGTTACAAGTGTATCTGCCAATTATGTGCTCAACATTTTGTATTTGTCAAATCATATTGAATATTTTGTAGCAATAAATTTTGCCCTCATATAAATTTCATGTTTTATGTTACTTAGTTCGCATGTGCCCATAACATCGAAATTTCCATACAGTTTCTTACCTTAATTCTGAAACCTTCGTAATGGGAAACACGTGACTAGAGTATATCGTATTCAAAAGCTCAGAGCCTGTATCCACATTTTTCGAATAATTCGTGTAGAAATTATTAAAGTATTGTCAGTTTTATGTCTTGTAGCTTTACCTAATTTCTCACTTCTATAATTAAATTTTTGTTCGATAAGCATATAAAGGAACGTTTTATGTAATTTTATTTATTAGATCCTCCCATCTCACCAAATTTAACTATAGCATCTGCAACAACCTCTTCCATCCAGCTCAAGTGGTTGCCTCCGGAGAAAGACAACAGTCCCATAACAGGTAAATACATCTCTCTGTTCTGCATTTCTGTTAAAGACTTATGAAGTATTGAATAAAGTGTATTTTGGATACTTTCTGTACTATTCACCGGTGAAGCGGTGAAGGTAAAACTTCAGCATTTTTACCGTTATTATTATACTTAAATGTTAAACTGAGAGTTTTTAAATTTATTTATTTGTTCAGAGAGTGTAATGTTGCAACGACCGAAAAAGGACTTTTTTTATGCTTAAAACCTACAACGTAATGAATAAAAGATTTTTTTTTCTGTCACTCTGAATTCCATTTATAAAGTCACTATGTAAGATCTGTCTCTATTATGCCACATAATCTAAATTAGATTCTACAATGAACTTGGCAAATTCTCGCACAGGATTGAATTAAATACCAGCACAGAAGAAGGGTGAAAATAACTCTTTATTAATTCAAACTAATTAACAGAAAGGCACGGACTTCATGTGTTACAAAGACACCGACCACTTGTGGTGAAAACTAAAACGTAGAATACAATACAAGTGAACCTGAAACAAATAGTGCAAGAGCTCACTTAAGTTTACGCCTAAGAGGTGGTATCAGAGGAATCTATCCATCCTGATACTAATCTGATAAGGCCAAGAGGCCTCCTAGCGTGACCGCGAAATAACAACGAAACGTACGCTTGGCTAGCGAAACGCACTCTGAATTAACTGAGAAATTCACACGTTTAAATAGCACTTCACTTAACTTTAAATTTACATTCTGGCGAGAGAATGTGAGGGGAAGTTGAGAAGCTTAGAACAGGTATCAAAATTAAAATTAATTTGTTATGCAAAATAAGGAAAGCCCTAGAATTATGATAAAAATGTTTGCAACATAAATCAAACGTAACAAACTTAAATAATGCCTGAACTTAAATTTCTGACCGACTGTCATTCCTTGATAACCAGTATCTCCGTGAGCTTTCGAACGAGCTGTACTTAAGGATTCGCAGTGAAACTGTGTTCACCGTTATAGCCCGATAGCCTGAAGGCTATGTTGGTGATTGCATCGGTGTATTTGTAGTAGTTTTTCGACAACTGTAAACGTGATTTTGGAACTGGAGATACTGGCAAAATTTGGGTAATACTGGCAAAATAAATTGTGCTTTAATTCTTCATCAAGTGTTGTCGATTAATCACTCCAAATTCCCGCGCCCCTTCGAAACGCAACATTATGTATTCTTCTTGGAATATAGGTCTTTATTTAATAAGTAATACTCTCATTAATTATCAGTAATTTATTTATAAATACTTTTCATTTGTTCCGTTTTTTCCTGCAAGCGCGTCCTGCGAAAATTAAATTATTTCCATAATATTTCCCTCTCGAATTTCGTACGATAAAATTGGATATAAAACTGAAGGGAGAATACGCTAATAAATACGGTATATTGTATCTAAATTCATTAGCTTACAGTGTTGTTTTCTATATTTGTATACTTGTATATTTTATTTTTAATAATTTAGACCATGCGTATGGTGCTGCGAGGTTTATCTATTCATTTTTAACTAATAGTTTATTTTAAGTTAGCACTTTCCTATTACTGTCTTTTTACCCAAGCTTTTATGCTAGAATGTAAACGAGATAGCTAGAGTTTATTTAGATTAAAGGTAGAATGAAGTGATATTTAAGCAAGAGTTTCGGAAGTTAGTTTTAGAGCGTGTCTGTAAGCCGCATTGTGCTGTGATTATTAGGGACTTGCGTTAGAGGTGTTGAGTGCTCTAGCCATTAGGCTTGTCTCGCTGGTTTACTACAAACCAGAACTCTTCCTGCGCGTTAAAATATTCTGTGAGCCGTTAGGCTAATCTACCACACCTTGAAATTATTGGTTGTTATGTTATTCTGTTAAGCCAGAAGCTACTACCTTCTTGTAACCCAAGTTGGGTCATTTGTTAATTTTATATTTGAATAAATAAATAATTCACCCTTCTTCCAATTTCTGTTTGGTTTCACAAGGCTAGAAAATAATTATTCATTAGTCTGTAAAGACATTAGGTTATTTCTAAAGCAGGAGTAATGAAAAATGAGCAACGCCCTCGCCGGGAATGAAACCCTTTAGGTTATATGAAAATTTTCTCCAATCAACTTCTTAAAATTGCAACATCTGACATTGCGGAGATAACGTTTACTAGAATAATTCAATATAATTTTTTAATTAATACTTTACGATAGACATATAGAGTGCATGTTAATGCATGCACATATTTTTTAACTGTATACTTACTTATTTCATTATTTAATTTAGTTTTCTCAATTATGCCAGTACTAAAGATTAGTTTTCCTTTTCACATCATATAATTGTCAATTGTAAAATTAAAAAGCGCAAGATATTTAAGAAAGCAGAATAATTATAGAGCTTAGTGTATTTTCTAAGCAGCTGATATTTTAATATTTAATTAACAATCAAAAAACTAATTTTCTGATTTGAAAAATAAAAAGTGCAATGTGGTAAAACTGTTAGCAGCCAAATGTGACACGTCAACAGAAAGAAAAATACCAAATTATTCTATGATTTAATTGGTTTCTCAGTTTTCTACAACCCTCAGGTTTCTGGCTAAGACCTGTACTTAGATAGACACGGCTCCTAGTGTACATAGTCATCGCAGTGACTAGAACCATCGATTCTTCAATCGAAAGTTCAGGCTCAGCAGGCACCGTACTGGTATGCCTCTTGGCTGTGGAGACGTTACATGGTTTGAAATCGAAAGTTGTCCTTGGGGGTTTCTCTCCTTGGGCAACACTGGGGAACAGTCTTTGACTATACTTCTTTTTCTTTGTATAGGTGACCACACCCCATTGACTTCTGTGTTTTAAACTTTGAGTGTGTGAAATTTTGTCTCCCTGGGTTGACCGGAAGGTTATGCCTCATTGGATCGCGTTGGTGGAGGTGGCGCATTTAACGGTGTAAGGGCTTGAAAAAGGACCACGTCTGAGAGTCTCCCTCTCCGGTATGAAATCGAAATTTGTCCTTGAGTGTTTCTCTCTCCTTTTTCAACACTGTAGGACAGTCTTTGACCATACTTCCTTCTCTTTTATAGATGACCACCACTGACTTCTGTGCTTTAAACTTTAACTGTGTGTAGTTTTGACCCCTTGGGTTGACCGGGGAGTTGTGCCTCCTTGGATCGCCTCTGGAGGAGGTGGCGCATTTAATGGCTTGAAAAATGACTAGCTCTGGACGCCTCCCTCTCCGTTGTGAAATCGAAAGTTGTCCGTGGGAGTTTGTCTCTCGTTGGATAACACTGGAAGACAGCCTTTGATCATACTTCCTTTTCTTTGATAGGTCACCACACCAGTGACTTCTGTGCTTTCAACTTTTACTGTGTTCAGTTTTGTCTCCCTGGGATGACCGGGGGGGGGTTATGCCTCCTTGGATAGCCTCTAATGGAGGTGGCGTATTTAACGGTATAAGGACTTGAAAAAGGCCCGGGTCTGGGTGCCTCCCTCCTTAGTGTATTCTTAAATGTAATTTAAGAAAAATAATACTGTTTTGTATGTTGGTAATAATAGTAGAAAATGTTTTGCATTGTAAACAGGCATGACATAATTACTTTGGAGAGTTACTTACTTGGCACTCGATACAATAATCTAATTCTTATTGTTTTCATTGTACTAAAATGTTTCGTTTCCATTTTCAATTGAGTTCTGTTATGATATTTTATTTGAATTCAGTTATTATAATCGGCCATATCCTGATAATTCTTTCTTAAATAAAATTATGGTAAACTTAATGAAGTAGTGTAACTATAAATCATAAATTTATTTTAGAATGAATGAGGAAGAATTTCACACATTATAAGACCTTTTACCATGAATATATGGATCGTTAATTATTGCAGGTTACTATATCTATTTTAAGAAAGAATTTGAAACATGGGAAGAGAGACAAGTGCCTGGTCATCAAACCAGTTATACTTTCCAAGATTTATATTGTGGTTCTCATTATCAGTTTTATATCGTCGCATTTAACACTGTTGGCAAAGGAAAGCCAAGCGAAGTAATCGCTGGAAAGACTTCTGGTTCAGGTAAGCTCATATTTTTTTAATACTAAACAAAGTTTGACTCTTGTATCAAGGCAAAAACTTGAGCGATAAATTATTGCGTTCAGAGTAACAGAACTCATAATAAACTACATAAAGTAAATAATTTAACTAAATAATTTATAATAATAAACTACACAACGAGATAAATTTATTCGTATAAGCACATAAAATAAACCTTTCACGGCTCTAGTGCAGAAAGGATGTCCTTTGATTTGGAGCCAGACACCGATGCTGCTAGAAGCTTTCTGGTAACCTAGAATCCACTGTGTTTTCCCAAGTGCTTTGACAGCCATTTCTTTTATTACGTGCCAATGATTTTCTTAAATATAATCTGATTGGAACATCTTAGTTTAGTCTCCGGGAGGGCTCCGGGATTTGTAGTACGTGTTACCCATACTACAAATCCCGTATTTTGAATTACTGGAATTTTAATTGCCTTTAATTGACCTTTGGTTTTCGTAAGCTCGCTGGTTCTAATTAATCGTTGACCTGCCACTTCTACAAGAAGTAACTCTAGCAAAACAAATATTCGTTTTTTTTCATGATCTAGAGCGAAGCGATAAGAAAGCTATGTCTGTAGATTCATTAGGTATTATTTTATAATCTATAATTTATTTATAGACCTGAAAACTGCTCAGGGCCATTCGAACCCTGGCCTCTTCAATAAGCGTCGAGTATGCTTCCAATTGTACTACGAAGGCATGCAGAAAGGAGAGAGAAAGTACCTTATATACTCTCTTTTTCAAAGACCTACTGCAGATTAGGGGGTCCAATGAACAAATCCTGGTGGTGACGAATTGTCGTCCACCACCTTTTAGTTTCGGCACTACTTGTAGAATCATTAGGTTACTTTGAAGCAAGAGGAAAACGAGCAGTGCTCTTGTCGAGACCCGATCTCTCAAATACGCGCCGAGTGCGCTATTGTTATACCACGAAGGCATTGCTAGAAGGAGGGAGAACACATATATGTAATCGGGATCTGAATGAAGTTTTAATTAGTTGTCGTCATAAATGTCAATTTTGTACGAACGAATTGCATCTGGTCGACTTTAAGAATCAATTGGATGGCTATGAGTGGGTTTGTTGCTAAAACATTGCTCGAAATTGACTTTTATACCAACACTATTGAGGGCGTGTGGATTTACATTCGCAAGCGGGGTCTTCGGCTGTCGTGGGATGATATTTTCAAATCCTATTTTGAGGAATTTGTGTGGCGTCGCCGCTACTGAAATCAGGAAGAGGAGTATCCATTCCGGGATGCATATTCCGTAAGTGCACAATGTATCACCCCCGAGAGAGTGGTTTCTAGCTTGGACTAAAGGCTTCCAGTAACATTTCTGTCATTTAATATGACATTTTCTGCGCGTTAAGCAAGATGGTTGGAAACGTTTTGCAACACAATTTTCTGTACAAATTAATTAAAGTATCGCATATTTATTGTGAAAATTTTTAGAGCGAATTTAGATCAAATATAAGCATAATTATATACGTAAATAGCAGAAGTCTTAGCATTTTTAACTGCAGTCTATATGAAAATGATGTTCTATAATAATAAGCAATGCGCAGTTTTCTTTAATGTGAATTTCCTGATTTGCATTCCTATAAATTTAGTGTGTTCATTTCATATTAATAACTGTTTACTCTTAAAAGTATTGCCTGCACAAGAAATGCTCTTCAAACAAAATGAATTTATCTTATTCACAAAGAATGTATTTAATTTACTTATATATATCTGTTAATGTTAACAATAGGTAATGAATCAAATCATCTTTCAAAATCAAATGCATGCAGATGATGAGACAAGAATATATATCCGTTGTAACACTTCCTGCTATTCTCAGCTCATAAAAAAATTATACACTTGAATTCTTTTAATCCCCCGGTGGTCGTAAATGCATAATATTCGAGGTTAACTGTAGCCTGAGTCATTTTCTCGATATAAAGAGTGATAATATGCCACGAATATTAATTCGAATATCAGTGTGTGATAAGTTTCGCAAAAGTAAAATGTTGACGATAACTTATAAAATGAAAGCCTTACAAGATTTTCTACTAAAATGATTTATACCACCATACATTTATAACTGTGAACCAAACGTAAAATAAAACTTGCGCTTATATGCAAAGTTTTAAATTTTCAGCGTCACAAGAGCAATAGAAGCTGATTGGTCCATTTATGAAACCCCTACCTTAGTGGCGATACTGATATGCACTTTTGAATTATGCTTCTGGGATTATATCAATTATATGAGATAATTGTATACTGCAATCACCCGACAATGACGATGAGACATAGCCAAAAACAAATGAGGAAAGTAATGTTGTTGTTACAGCATAAGTTTCAGGCATTGTTTTGGGACGACAGCCATTTTGGAAACATCCTTCTTGGCCCCAATACGACATCAAAAAATATTGACAAAAATATCAAGGGTCACCCTACTGTAAACTTTCAACCCTTTCAATTTCGATTTATGCAAAAAGGCATTTAAAAGTGATTTAAGCTTCACAGGAGAGTTTCGAAAACGATGCATAAATTTCAAGAGTCGATGCACTAGTTAGATCAAAACTTACACAATACAAAATTTTTAACACATCAGACTAAACATTGCGAAAACATATTAATAAAGATTAAATTGAATAACTGAGAGATTTTAGCAAGACTTATATTTTATTCACTTTTAATTCATAAATTTTTCATTTTTAATAGGTGTTAATTTAAAAATTTACTCCGAAAATTCATGACATCGCTAGATTAATTATACGGATTTGAATGTACGAAATGAAATCATAAGCCATAATTAAAATAACAGGAAAATTAATTATGCTAAATTAAAATGATATTCTTCAGAAAAATTTTGGATTGGAAATATTTCAATCAAATTTTAATGTAGGAGTTTTAATGAGTTTAAATAAAGGAATTTGAATTTTTCAAAACACATTTTCTAAGACATTTCTAAACTTATTAATAAATATTCTCAAATTAAAGTCAAATTTAAGCCCCTTCCCTAACAAATTGTATAAGCGAAAGTATAAAACTCTCTACGGTATGAATTGAGTGAGAATGAGAATGGAAGAATTATGAAGTAGAAAATAAACCTAATTTTAAAGTTGTTGAAACTTGGCGATAAGGTTAGACGAAATTAAATAATATTGTCGCGTGCGTACGGGTTTGCAATAAATTGAATGCATGAGTCCGATAATAAGTTAATAAAATTTATTCTTATCAACAGAAATATAACAGAACTCTGGAATTTGCCTCAGAGATATTGTGTGTCAGAGATAAGTGTTCACAGTATAACGCAGTATAATCAGTAGTTATACTATAAACTACTATAATCGTTAAATATAAAGCAATGCAAAGCGCATCTAAAGAGAAAGCTAACTTGAATATCTCAGTTCACTCGAAATTCTCGAAATGAGAGTGTCAGTGGAACTTAACATCTCGCAACAACAAAAACTAAACAACTGAACTAAGATGCTCTCTGTCTGGCATTTCATGCTTTTCAACCTGTCGCGAGATATTTCTAGTACTTTCTGTTTCTCAAAATTTCTGGAAAGCAATAATAGTGTGGAATTACGGTTACAGCTAACCAAGTGGTTAATTATATTTATTCAGTTTTAATGTAAATTACCAAGATATCCATTTATTCAATGTTAAATGCGCGTGCCCCTGAATTCTTACTTTTCCGTTATAGATTTTTCTTAAAAATTTGTCTACACAGGAAAATACAATTTTAGTTATAATTCTATTAAAATTACCTATATAAGCACAAATTAATAACAATATTTAAATAATATTAAATAAAGATTAAACAAAGGTGGATCATTTATTTTATCGTTTTATTTTACAACCTAACTCTGGGCAACATTGAGCAGTAAAGTTACCAAAATAAATCAACTCGTGAAATCAATCAAAAACATCACAGTGTGAGTGTTTCCACGCCATACATATTTTTTTTCTCTTAGCCTTTCTTAGTATAAGATCATGTTCAAACTTCGTATCTTTAATGACTAGCGAAGTTCCATAAAAAAGTTATGCTAAAATTTTGAATATTTCATATAATTTAAGCAGCAAGATATTTTCTTTTAGCTCCTAACCCTCCAAAGAGAGATGCATTGCTCAGTGTCAACTCCACAGCCGTATCACTGCACCTGAACACTTGGTTGGGAGGAGCCTGCCCAATCAATTTTTTTACCGTGCAATACAAAGCAAACACCCAGAAGGAATGGATTTTGGTGTCCAATAATATTGTACCCGAGCAAAAGTTACTTGTCATTTCGGATCTTACACCAGGAACGTGGTATACCATTCTCATGACAGCCCATAGTGAAGCTGGACCTACAGAGGCAGAATACTTATTTGCTACCTTAACAGCTTTTGGAGGTAAGAATTCTAAATTGATCTAAAGTAAAAATGTTAGCAATAATGTTCATTCATGAATTTAGCAATGATTTAATTTCTGCTCAGTTATACCAAACACTAGAGCAGAGCTATAGCTTATTTAGAATACATTGTGATAATTTATTATAATTAAATATATGAAAGATTATTGATTTAATATTTATTTGGGGATATTAGATCAGTATCCTTACTACTCTAATATCCCCCAAACTGATATTAGTAATTACTATTATTCACTTTATTAGCTTCTGGATTCCAGCATAATATGCTTTCTCAAAATATATTAGCTATAGTATAGGAATGTAGTATAACGCTGATTTTTGTTGTTTGACTTCTGAATTAGTATTTATTCGGCATGTTATTGTGTCTTAATTATAGGAATTTATTAGAAAATTATAATGCATCCTAATAATGACTTTAATTTCTAGTGTTAAGACGGATAACATCATTGATTTAAGTATATTGATTGGATAGCAACTTCATTCCGTTAACATAAAGATGCATAATTTTTTTTTTATTTTTAATGGCTAGGTACTCCACGTGATCAAAATAACATAACAAAATGCATAAATAAGATACATAAACAAAAGGAAGTAAAAGTCATTGACCCTTGCATAGTCTCGCAAACCAGTCTTTTAATCATTCAGTCTGAGATTTTTTCAAAATTTTCAATGCACTGAGTAATGGCCTGTATCTAGAATACTATTGTTGCATAGTGGGTAGGTTGGGCTTGGCAGGATATCATTGAGAAACATGTGCGCCGCCAAGTCATGTCCAGTAGTTAGTCGCAATGTCACCTCAGCTGTAGGATGAGGCCAGTTGGGGATATTGCATCGAATCAAACACGAAAGAAGTCAAACACGAATTAATTAGATCTTAAACACTCGCTGATACTGATAAACAATGGGCTTATGAATAACTGGTAAAGACAGATTAGGCAATTACGATTGTGTTGAAGTGCTGAACGAGACTTAAAAATTGAACAAGCATAAAAACTATTGAAATAACGGTAATTTTCCATTTCGCATGCGCAAATCTCGCCAAGTAGACTTTATAGGCGATAATACATAGTATACACGTAAAAAATATTAATAATGCTGCAAATCTTGCCAAGCAGACTTTATTGATGACGACACACAATATACACATAAAAAAACGTTAACAAATGTTAGTTTTAAGAATATTTTACTTTGGAGGCATAAACATTTTAATATCGTTTAAAATTTTCTCAAATGGACTTTCTGAACTGGACAAAATTTTCTCAATTCATCCTCTCTCTCCTTTTTTTTTTTTTTTTTTTTTCGTTTCCCTTCTCCACATAAATTCCACAAGATAACTTTCCAGATGATGATGTACCGTTCCTCTGTGTTTGTTTATTTCGCCATTTGACGTTACCCCAGTCTTTCTATATTTTGTGTGTACGTTCCAGTTTCCGAATTGACAAAATTGTATTTATTGCTCACTTTGAAATATTTGAAACTTTTCCAGTTTTTCAGTGCGAGAATGATTTCCATGAATCCGAGTATATTGTAGTTCCTTGTTTGATATTTTCCTTAATTGCCTCTAATAAAATGCTCATGGATAGGTTTGGCACCTTCACGTGGAAACATTCGTTTGTTTCGCGGTAAACACCGCCGAAGGTCCACTGTTGTGGTAGAATCCGTCCAGTATTGTTCTTGCGCTTCTCGAACATACTTTAATCTGAGGGTCTCGCAAACCTCTTTCCCTACCACCAATCCACACAAGAGAACTTTTGGCTCTGCATATATTTAGAGCATTGGTTCTCAACGGAGGCGTCACCGCTCCGCCCAGGGGGTAGTGGAAGGATGTTGAGGGGCGATAAACTTGTTTTTGGCGGCAGGGGGTGACAAGCAGTATGTTTTAGGCGGTAAGTGGAGTGATGAGCATGTTTTGGCATTTGAACTTAATTTTAAAACCCCCAAAAATTTATTAAATCTACTATCCGATTTACACCATTTCTACCAGCAATAAGACGAACTTACGCTAGGGCTCCCCTCATGCAATTCAAAGAATGATGATACGAATCTGCAAAAATTTCATACTGACAAACAAAATAAAGATTTGCCGTTTTTTCCGAACATCAAAGCCAAGTTTCTGAAGGCACTGTTTGTCTCAGGGTTGCTAGCAAACTCATCAAAAAAATACGACGATGGTTTGATGTCCTCTTATAATGTCTAAAAATTAATTGCTAAATCGTAGAGCTCATACCCCGGGCGAAGAGTTGATACAAAAAAAAAAAAAAAAAAAAAAAAAGAGTTGTCTCCAAATCGTGGAAAGAGGGGACTTGCGCCTTCGTCTCTCTAAAAATATAAAACCGAACTTCCAGAAACTGGCACTGAACCATTAAGCACAGACATCTCGATCGTACTTGATTGTTTCATTGATATTACTCTTTTAGTGTATTTTTTGCCATTCTTTTTTAATTATTTAGTTAAGAATAAAGAATTTTTAAGCATAAAACATCGCTTAAGCAATTGTTTCTGGCATTAATCATTTCAATTTTAACAAAAGAATGTAATTACCTTCCGAGCAAAACTATCAAGTTAAATAAAAAAATCGGTGTGTAAATCTACTGAAAAAAATTACTTAAAATTTTTGCCTTTTATAATTCAGGAATCCTCTTTTCCCATACCTAAATTACAGGATTTTCACAAAAGGGTCGTTGAAAAAGTTTCCGCTCCTAGGGATGAGGCAACATCGAAAAAGTTGAGAATCACTGATTTAGAGTGTCCCCAAGCGGAAAAGTCTGTACGTTCACAGCATCCATGCCTTCTTCGGAATTCGAAACCGGGCCCTTCGGTACAGTAGTCAGTCATTGTACAATTTAGCTTCTGTATTAGTCTGGTTTCAAATATTCCGGAATACTAGCTGAACCAATTACCTGGAATATCGAATAACTGCATTTTCTATTCTACAGCATATTGAACAGAAGTGTGCATAAATAATTCATTTTTCCCAACCTTAGTGGGCAGTCGTTATTTTCTTTTATTTCGCAAGCTTGCTGAATTGCAAGTCAATTTTCTTATTAATATTGTTGTATAAAATTGTGTGCTTTTCCTAGTGTGAAAAATCTTTGTATATAGAAATAGCTTTAAATTGAAATAGCATAAAGGTGAAATTAGCTAGCAGTATGCAGAAACTTTACTTGCGTTTTTGAATAATTGTCCTAAGGCTGATATCTTATAAAATTTAATCTTTAATAGGCATTTATTAGATATTTTATATTGCAGCTACAGTTCCTCCGCCACTAAGCATGGATGAAAGGCGACCCGTGTTTTACAGAAGTCTCAGCATTGTAGTACCCACTGCATGCGCAGTCGTCGTTCTTATCGTCATCGTCATCGTGGCATGTGTAGTTGTGAAAAAGAGGCGTCATGTCGACAATCCACAGCGAAGAGGTAAAGTCATTCAGAATATAATCTTGCCAATCTGTAATCTGTAATTTTTCAAAGTTATTTTATAATATATTTCAAAACTTACCAAGTGGCATCCCTTAACCTTTCCGGCACGCTACCTTTTAAAATCGGAGTTTTGATTTAAAAAAAAAAAGAAAAAGAAAAAGAAAAAGATAGGCAGTCTAATTAGGCCTAGAGGAGTACACACGTATAATTTTGTGAAGTGAAAATTTGTGTCACTTATCTTTTAATTCTGTGGGTGTGCTCAAAGTGGCTCATTGATTGAATAGAGCTTCGAAAAGAGTGCTGAAACGAGCATTGTTGTCCATGAACTGACCGATGAGATGCGGAGGAACAAAGAATACAGACTCTCAGTTGTCCTAGATTATCGGTGAGCACGTTCTGGGCGCACCTAAGGTTCGCCGTTTGATTTTAGAAAGATTTCAAGGTAAAAATTTAAAACTAATATAGAATAAGGAGATTAGCATACAGCCAAAAAAAATAACGTAGAAATTTCTTTTCAAACAATTCCTTTTATACCCTAAAAAAAAATCTGGAAGATTTCTTTGAAAAATGAGGGTCTTGAAAAACCAAACATGGCTAAAATATATGGACTGGTTTGTGTTGAGCTGCTATTTACTATAAATAAAGGTTCAGAGTAACCTATAAATCCTTTTTCATTCAATTTTTCTGAGCGCACAGAAGGAAATTTTTAGGTGTGTTCAGACCAGACACACTGTGCCGCAAAGGGTTAAAATACAGTAAAATAAAATTGTTTTCTGAGATTCGTATTTAGGTTCCACTTTAACACTTGAAATAACTTAAAGTTGAGCAATTACGACCTACTAATTTAATAATTATTCTCAATAAACTCATACAGAACTATAATCGCATACGCACAACGATCTGTTCAAAATAGCAGTACGTAGCCGGTAGGAGCAAAACACTTGCTACAGTATTATTCCATCAAAAGTTAAAGCAAAGTGGAGACTTTTCCGCTTATTTAATCAGTAAAATTAATTATTTAAACATTACCGAGCACTTTTGTTTCAATTCATCTCTCTGCACGAAGTCTGCAACAATATTTTTAAAACAATTGAAGAAGTAATAATTTCTGATTTAAAGACAAAAAAAATTCTTATAGTGAAAACAATATCACCTGATTTCCAGAATTAATGACTAGTTTTAATGTCATCTTCATTAAATTATTCTGCATTATTCATTTTTTGAGAAATCTGCAATTAACTAATTAAATCCTACTAGTAATAGTATTACTATATTTTCTTCCGTCTGAATCTTATAAAATACGAATTACAAAGAATAATATGCATTATTTGATATTCTAATTGAAAGAATTCGAATTAAACAGTACTTATATTATTCTTAATTACACTGCAGAACAAATAGTGACTCTTTTAATCATTTATTTCAGATTAAAATCGTATGTCATTTATATCACTTTATTAGCTTGTTAAAGCTTTCTTTTTTTTAAATTCTTCCTTGTCAGAAATTCATAGCAATTTTTCTTTATTATAGTTCATACAAATAAATTATACGTTACTGAAAGAATAATGAGCTAAATGTTTAATGCATAACATACGTAATTTTTCGGTTTTCATTCAAAACCCTAATTTAATCTCTCGCATAATAATACTTTTTTTCCGTAAACTTTTTACGAGCATTAAGTGAGCAATATTTCGTAAGTTAACTATTTCATATCAGTTCATTAAGAAATTCGCAAAATTTTAAAGTACCTAAGAACTTACAAGGTTAAGCATCATTATCAGGTTATCAAACATTATTTACAGAGTTGAGCAAATTTAAAAGGGAATTATTATTAAGTTTTTCTGAAGTAAAAATGCATTTAAAACAAATCAAGTATAGCGTCACTAAAAATCGAGCCTAACATCTTCCAAATGCTAACGTGATCACTACATCACAAAAATACGGAAGTGAGAAACATCGTTATTCCATGGTATTTTCCTTTTATTTCTTAATGGCCGTTCTCACTGGAATTTATCTGAGCTAACAGAGACAACCGACGTAACCGACCCATTTCCAAAAAAAGGTTTTTCCCCATAGGGCACCAAGTTAAAAAATCTGAACTGCAGGCATAGCAGAGCTAGTCGACACATGGAATTGGCTTTGTTAGCTCAGATAAACCCCAGTGTGAACGGTTTTACCTGAGCTATCGGATACACCTTGCGTAGTCCGCACAGCTCCAAAGCCCGTTTCTCCTGTTAGAGAGGCTAGTTGAAAAATCTGAATATCACGAATAGCAGAGCTAGTCAACACATGGAACTGACTCCGTTAACTCAGATAAAGCACAGTGTGAATGGCCCTCTAGGCTTCGTTCAGACGGTGCTATAAATGTCATACAGGCATAGTCATAAGGCACAAAACGCGGTAATTCCGTTCACACCTGCAAGACAGGGTCTGAGCCGCAGCCAATTAGAGAACCTAAATTTGCGCATGCGTAGATGTATTTCCCACTCAGAAGATTTCGCACGTTTGCTCTGATTGGTTGATAGCAAGCAGGCATAGAGTTGAAAATTTCAAGCTTTATGCCAAAACCCATAAACAAGTTTTTATGACGTAACAAGGTTTGGTTACCAAGCAACGAAGCTTGGCTTTAACCAGTTATGATATTTTTACCACCGTCTGAACATAGCTTTAAGAACTGTTCATACTAAGGTTTATCTGAGCTAACGGCGACATCTGGTACAGCCGACAGAGCTCCAAAACCAGTTTTTGTCTCATAATACAGCGAGTTGAAAAATCTGAACCTCCCGTATTAGCGGAGCTATCAATACATCTGAAATTTTCCTTTTCTTGATGGGTTACACCTCAAGGGCACGTATATGAAGATTTCGTAATTCCTTAGAGGCTCACCAGCGCCCGAGCGGTAAAGTGGCTGAACACTGGTAGTTCGGTTCGAGGTTCGAATCCCGCGAACGGGCTGGCTGCATGGGTGTTTTCGTGGTTTTCCCCATGTGTAACGTGTATACGAGCCAGTTTCCCTTAGAAAGTCCTCCACGAAGGCATCCCTCCCCTTTAGGCAGATAGCCCTAGTGTGCTTTGCCATAATTAAATACACCACCACCGTAATTCCTTAGAGATTTACTTCATGGTCACAAAATATTTCTGCAGCATCTTATGTAACAAAGTAAGTCTGTTTTCTTTAAGGTAAAAATGTAACTAGATGAAGAGCATTTACCGCATCGTATTTTTTGCTCTAACAAAAAAACTCCTGCTGCAAAAATAAAACGAACCACGTGTGAAGCCTGTCAGTAAAACATTGTATCCTCTTGACCACGTAAGAAATATTTTTAAAAGGGTTAAAAATGTAAACTTCTTGATAACGATAAGCCGTTTATCTGAATCCCAAAAGAGTTTTAAAGCCTTGAATTGTTAGAAATTATTCATAAAAACTTGTTCGAAAAATTGCAGGACATGAAAATGAATATGTACGTATCTTTCTTTTATTCTCTTGGCAATTAAATAAATTCAGGACTTATTGCAAAACGGTAATATATAGAGGGTGGTCATAAAAGAACTCCTATATATGAACCCATAGCGGCCCAATCGAAATAAAACTTCAAATATTTCTATTTGAAGGTGTGCGCTCAAGATTGCGATGATTTAAAACAAAAAAGCTCTCACGGTTACGGTTACAGAGAAAACGTATCGAAATTTTCGATTCGCATTCCATTTTTCCTGTGCAAACTGAACAGAGCACTAAAGTCCTAGATGGCTTTGGAACGATTGACACATAACGAAAATTTCCTTAGTGAAACATTTTCAGAAAACAGCATTGTGAAGAACCAATGACCATTCAAGAAAGGAGAGGAAAAAATACTTTTCATTAGAATTAAAAGTTTTCAACGTACCGTACTCGCAACATCACAAGATGAATTTACATGACTTCACGTTTTATGATATCTTTCAATTTTGACAAATCTCGTACACTTTAGATTTCAGATATGCCTAGAACCAAGAATCCATCTGTGTGAGTTTGGGAAATTGTGGTGATCACAAAACTCCCAACTTACAAGAGATTACTCTATCTTGAAACGTGGAACACGTTGAAAACTTGTAATTCCAATAAAAGGTTCCTTCCCATTCCCCTCTTGTACTGTCATTGGTCCTTTACAATACTCTTCTTTGCAAATGTTTTAAGCTGGCAATTTTCGTCATGTGTGTATCTCACCAACGCCATTTATGGTTTTTCCATACACTGAGCAGTTTGATTAGGAAAAAATGTTGGTGTTGCTATTTAAACATTTCAAATGTTTTTCACTGTAACCGTAAATGTGAGAGCCCAATTGTTTTAAATCATCACAATCTCGAGAGTATACTTTTAAGTAACAGTATTTCTACCTTTCTTTCAATTGATTAAGCAGAGAGGCCGCTAGATGTTCATGTATTGGGAAAGCTTTATGTTTCGATACAAAGGATAAACAAACATATGCACAGAAACCTCAGGATATATGAGAAAAGAAATTAATGAAGAATAGAATCAGTGCTGAGAATCGGAGGCCTTTCGAGAAAAATAAAAGTTCTTTGAAACGTATACCAGTCCTTAATATAAAAATATATAATGATATTGATTTAAACTAGATTATTATTTGTCTCATAGACAGTTCCCGGCTTACTTGAATGAGTTTTCTCTCCAAGGTTTTAATCTATGTAAAACATATTATATTTTTGGAGACAGCAGGCGATTGTTTGAGTCATATCCCTCAACACAAAGAACTTATTTCATGATTTTATTCCCGAAAAATTATGAAAATTATTAATAATAATTGAGATATAATAGAGACTGAAATGTGAGTCAAAATTTTTGTTTTATCTATTTAAGGACCTCTAATTTTCAGTTCGCATTATTTATTAATTTGTGAGCATGCATTCAAATCTTTTGGATAAAGGAATTGCATATAATTTATTTATTATTTAGATATATAAAATATATCTAATCCATTTATTTTATATATTATTTAGAT